AAAAAAAAAAAAAAAAAAAACACACACTGAAAATTTAGTCCTCCATTTAAAAAAAAACTGTCAAGGCTGATGCTATCAGTGTTTAGTTATAAAAGGACATTCAATTTTTGGTTTCACAATTTGAATTTCAAGAATGCAAAAACCAAAAATTGGAGTTTTGTTTGACTTCCAACAGCTCAGAAGAGTCTTTATTTTAATTAGCCTAGGATGGGTTATTTGTCTTCATTAAGAACCAATTGCTTAGCTTACTTGAAAAGCTAAATTTATGATGACTGTCTTTAAAACCCTCTTCTAATGAAGACAGTACCACACGATAAGGAAGCACGCAGTCTCATTCTATTTTCTACCCAAAGGCCTCAATTAATAATTAACTTGATTCCTGAAATGTCTTATTGAAGTCAATGGGATTATTCACATCACAAGAAGTTAAACATATCCACATAGGTGTTTGCAGAACTGACAACTTTGCACTTCATTATGCAAAATTCAGAACGCTTTTGTTCTTCAAGAGTTTCCTGTGAAAGATTCTCTTTTTTAAAGTAAAGTCAGTTACCAGAGCTGAAATAGTCTTCTTCCATTTGTTGTGCATCTTAGCCAACATTTGATTTTTTTCTTTTATTTTAGGATTGGAAAAACCTGGATATTTTCAGCCTGCAATTCAACTAGAAATAGTCAGTCTATTGTTTAAACCACCTATAATATTTGAAGAACAAACAGGATTACATACTGTACCTTATCATACTGACAAACTATTACATTGTCTGTATCGAACAAATCTGGGGTGTCCTGCTCACTGACATCATCACCGGAATTTAAAGGATCCTAACAAGTAAAAGTCACCATGTTAAACAACACTAACTGCTTTTCAAAAAAAGAGTCCAAATAGAGGCTAACTAAAGTAAGGGTTATGAAAAATGTTCCCTCCCAAAAAAACAGAAACCTAGAAACAAAAGATCACTTTGCTCAAGACACTTCTATTAAGCATAAGAATTTTTTTTTTGAAACAATTAAAGTATCTTAACAGGATTCTATTAATGAGAATGACTCCCACTTAAGGCAGTGATTCTCAGCCAAGGTGCTGTAGCACCCTGGGGTGCCTTTAGCTCCTTTCAGGGTACTGCATGGTGCCTACCAACATTAACACTGTTAGGTGTACAAACACAATTCACAAAATAAAACCAGAGAGTTCAGATAGGAACAGGAATTCATAGCATTAAGAACATTCAGACCCATTGTGGTCTTCCCAAGTCCTTTGCAACAGAAGTACTGATCTATTATTTTTCTGTAGTCGGAAACCAAGTGAGTGAAAAGTAAGAGCTGGCATATTCTGAGGGGTGCCTCAAGTCTAAAAAAGGTTGAGATCCTCTGTTCTAATGTGATATAAGTAAAATAATCATGACACATTTAACTGCAACTGAGATGCTCAACCACCTGTCCCTTGAGAAACAAAAAAAAAAAAGATAGCCTGTGGTACCCACTGCCCTGAATAGTGCTGTACAGGATGAGAAAGAGGATGAAATTCTGATCCTAAGCAAATAAAAAAAAACCCTCCTCTATTTCAGTGGGTCCAGGATTTCATTGTAGATTCAAAACTGTCTTAATTAAAAGCATTTAATTCCCCCAACAACCAATAGCAGCTCTCCTAATCGTTTACACTCCAACCACAGGCCATCAAGCTACCCCTAGTCTACGGCATCCTCCTCTGAAAATAAGTTCACAACATATTCAATTATACAATCCACTCAACCTACTAACGGATATGCTGGATCTTAGTCAAGACTGTATGCAAGTACATTACTCAGCCTTGCTAAAAGCCAATTACCTCTTCAATTATGTCTGCTGGGGGCTCTTCAGTATCACTACTGCTGCTGGATTCACCGTTTGAAATACTGTCACCATCTTCCTCATCATCATCCAGTACTTTCAGATCCTCCGAGTCAATAATGCCAATGAATTCATTTTCTTCCACAGCTCTTGGGCTTTCTATTTCCTCTTTAGGAGAAACATCACCCGTCCCATCTAGCTGAATGATCCCTTCAAGGTCACTGCAGACCTGCTCTGTCCGTATCTCAGAGTCTATCTGCATGGTAGGTTCCATCTGAAAGGAATGAAAAGGTTCAGTAACAGCAAGAAAACCAGAGACTGGCAATTCCCTTCGCTCTCTGAGGAATCTGAACTTCTAGCCACTCTATTTGGGTACTTGCACAGAAGCTTGGATATCATTTTCAAGTTTTATTGCATTAGAAGCAAAGTTTTCTTTAAAATAAAGCAGCAGACATTGGAGCTGATCCACAGCTGAAACGGGCCACAAAATGGAACCATCTAACTAGTTTTAAAAACTGAATTAGGGGGAGGAGGAGAATGAGAGAAGGAGGAAGAAATCCAGAAGGTGTTCCCTAATATGTTCTGGGTCTATCAAAATTGTTTTGTTTGGCTAAACTAAGGTGTAATGAAAGTATTAGTTTTAATATTGTAAAGACTAGAGAAAATATCTCTCTTTTTAAAACAAATTAAAAAAAATCTGAAATCCCAAAACAAAAAGGTATTATTTTAAGAAAAATAAAATAAAAATTTTAAAAGGCTCGCTGTTGATAATGCTAATTTAAGATGCCCCATTCAAATTAAAGTATTAAGCCTTCCCCGGCCACATACACACCAAGCCACAATGAAGCATTTATTTCTTTTCAGTCCTTCTTAAGTAGTCTTTCTGACCATTCTAAGCTATACTACTCTCAATGCCAGGATTTATCTAGCACTGGCCATTTAACACAGAACTTTCCATTTAGGCTCATTTGTAACATTAATGAAAATTTCCCTGGACTACACTCTCATTCCAAACATTGTTTCAACTTTGTATTCACCTCATCATGGAACATAACCAATGCCACGTGGTTTTTCTGATCAAATCGGAATTAAACTGCGCCCCGTTTTGGGCACCGCACTTCAAGAGGGATGTGGACAACCTCAAGAGGGTTCAGAGGAAGGCCACTCATATGGTTAGGGGCCTGCAGGTAAGACCCTACGAGGAGCGATTGAGGGTCCTGGATCTCTTCAGGCTCCGCAAGAGGTGGCTGAGAGGGGATCTTGTGGCTGCCTACACATTCATTTGGGGAGGGGAGGTGGGGGGGAGAAATAGTAGATGCTCCATTTACCAGAGCACCCCTTGGAGCAACTAGGAACAATGGCCACAAACTGACAGAGAACAGATTCAAGTTAGACATCAGGAACAGTTTCTTTACTGTAAGGGTGGCCAGAATCTGGAATGGGCTTCCAAGGGAGGTGGTGCTCTTGCTTACCTTGGGAGTCTTTAAGATAAGGCTAGACATGCACCTGGCTAGGGACCACAGCACTCTTTCCTGCCCAGGGCAGGGGTCAGACTCGATCATCTGCTAAGGTCCCTTCCAACCCAAACATCTATGAATCTATAAACAGAACCCTAGTATTTACGAAGATATCTGCAATCAATCCACGGGATGAAAAAAATAAGATAAATTTAAGCAAGCCACAATTTATTTGTGGAACATCCATAGGCAAAAAAACACAAACACAATGTTACAATTACCCATATCATGTTACTTGCACAGCCTAAGTTGAATCTTCTTTTTTTTCTTAAAAAAAAAAAAAAGGAGAGAGACAGTTCCATCAACATGCACCACAGTAAAACTTGAGGATCCTGTATGTGAGTAGAGTCTGACAAACTCCTCCTTGAGGACTAGAAGTTAATATTCAAAAGGCAAATTTTCTTGCAAGCTGACCTGTGATGTCAAGATCATAACAATCTGACACTTCAAAAAGGAACACTAGACTTTGAATATAGGATTTCAGGCAAACACTTGTTAAAAACTTTTAAAATAATATGAAATCCATGGAAACGTAGGGCAATGCTTAGTCTCTACAATCCAAATACTTCAAGAGTGTTTGTCTATGGCTAAAAAACAGAATGTGGAAATAAATAGCCCATTCTGTTGCCCATACGGAGCGAAGTGCGATTTATATCACTTTCTAAAAAGAATCCGATATTTAAATTTTCCTTTAAAAAAAAAAAAAAATGCAGAGGAGTTCTTAGTAATAGGAAACGTTTAATGACAATGCTCTTTTAAATATGCTGTGTTGACTAATAAGTTATTCCGTGCTACAAAAGACCAACCCAGAAAAACTCAATTAGTTTAGTGATTAGGAATATAAAAGACCATAAGCAGATCAGTGACAAGACACACAGTACTAGTAGGTGGTCTGTTGCAATGTTTGAACGACTGATTTAGCAGTTCCGCGTATGATTTCACATGGCATTTTTATACGCATTTCAAACCAGCAGTCTTAAAGAATTTGCTCACTCATCTGCTTATCTTGACAGCACAAGTACACCAAAAAAAACAAAACAAAACAAAAAAAAACCCAACAGTATCAGTAAGAGTTTTGTGATGGGCATCTACCCGTTTTTCCTCAAATGAAAAAACTTGAAGTACAAGATGCACATAAATCATGTAAGTCTAGAGAAATATGAAATTGTTTTGTAAGGGTTCTCTTGAGAGCAGCCAACTGCACCAAAGGTCATACTCTGTTAGTTATGAGCCTGACACAAGTAGCCAAGCATCGTGGAAGTTTGGCAGTTTCCTAGTGACAGCAGTATAGCTAGCACTACAGTTAGCATCTCTCTACAACACTAAAATATATTCCTAAATATGCCAGCAATCAGTTCTTCAGACAACTACCGTATTTACTTGAATCCAAGAAATGGGTTTCCCCACCATTCAGCATGGGTTGGGGGGACCCCCTTGTCTTAGATTCAAGTCCAAGCAAGGCAAGCAGCTGCTGCAAGTCCAGATGGGGCCAGGATGATTCATGAAGCTGGTTGAAAGAGGAGGTCATGGAGCAAAGGGAACACAAGAAAAGAGGCAAGAGGATAAGTGATGTGCAGAACAAGGGGAATAAAGGGTAAAGGGGTAGACAGCGGGGAGGGGCATTGCTACAGCTTCAGCAAGGAAGAAGGAAGGGGGGAGGGGCAAAGAGGCATGCTGCCTACCCCACAGCCCTTGGTTTCCCTGACACTACTTTGCTTTCCCTCGGGCGGGGGGGAGGGGAATAAGGGGGTATGAATTAAAGATGACCCTTCATTAGATTCTGGACATGAAAAAAAAAGAAAAAAGGAAAAGGGAAGAGGGAAGAAGGGAAGAAGGTGAGAGAAGTGTGTAATGACAAACAATCCAGCTACCAAAATATCCCAAGGATTTTTTCCACATC